CCCGATGGGGGAACTCGAGACGCTGCTTCTAGCAGGGGATGGGAGGAGAGGAGCAGCCTGCGTTCCCTGCGGGGCTGAAAGCCCTTCTTTTCGCAGAGCGCGAGAACGGGGGCACTATGCAGTGCAGCCACGGCCACTTCTCCTGCCCCCCTGAGAGGGGAGGAGGTTCTGGGAGCACCGACAGCTGCCCCGCACGTTTACAGTGCTGGAAGACGCTGAAGGCTGCCCCGGTACCTCCCACACCCCAATGCATGTGGATCCTCCCCTTGGCGTCCTTTTTCCAAACCCTCCTTCTCCCCATCCTGCTCCCCATATATTTGAACCCCTGCGGAGCTGCCTCTTCACTCTTGACTTGCTCCTGGCAGGCAGAATGCAGGCAGGGCCGTCTCCTTCTCAGCAGGTGAGATCCAGCCCAGCCTCCGGCACAGGTAAGAGATCTCGTTTATGAAAATATACGTTCATAGAATCACGGAATCTCGTGTTGAGTGCGGCTTGCTCTCGAGGAGAAGGCTTGGTGCTGTGGGTGATTTGCTGCCTTCTGGCCATGGGCTCTGCTCCGGAGTCCTCCTGAAGTCCTTTGAAGTTGGGTCTCGTGGTTTTGTTGCTGCGACACCCAGAAAGCATAAAGTAGAAAGAAACATGGGAACAAACGTGGTGTGTTCTCTGGGCAGGAAAGGATTTATCTTCTCAAGCCACTAAAAGTGCCAGGAAACGTTTAGGTAGGATGATGAAAAGCCTTCGGACTCTTCTCTCATTTATTCCTCTGCAGCCCGGACAGGCTGTGCCTGCACAGTCGGACACACCGCGGCAGCGAATCCTTGGTGCAAAGCCTGGCTTTGCAGGGGCTGGTTTTGCAGGAGGGATCCGAGAGGGAGCAGCAAGTGGAGGGGGTGGTGTGTCAGTACTCCCCGCAGGAGCGGGGATGTGAGCGATGAAACAAGATTGACAACAAACGAGCTGACGCAGCAAAGCTGGGGGTTCTCCTCCTCCTCCTCAGGCTCGTCGTCATAAATGGGGAAAAGGGGTCCTTTTGGGGGCGGTGGTTGTTTGCAAACAAGTTCTCCTTCAGCTGCACTAGGGACAATTTTCTCGGCAGTTACAAAGAGAACGATGCCGGCAGGGTTCGGAGCGCCCCGGAGACCCGCGGCAGCGTGACGGGGACTGGCGGGACGGTGCTGGGGGCATGTGGGCATCCTGGTTCACCTTGGACATCGCCACAGAGTGATTCTTGCGTCAAAAGGGGATTAAAAGAACTCACCATCATCTAATTTCTGTTTGTTTCTGTTCTCAACACAGAAGAGTGTGGAGCGTGTGGTCCTGGCTTCGCCTCGCCGCTGGATGCGATGAAAGGCAAGTCCAAGACCCAGGGCGGGCAGGGAAGAGCCCTGCGCTGGCCGTGATTTCGGGGGACAATGTTTTACAGAGGGTGTTATCACTTACCTCCTTCTCCCAGGAGGCTCCCAGCAAGCCCTGGCGAATTGATGGGTTTGCTTCTGGCCTGTCCTGAGGCAAATCATCAATTGCATAAAGACACCTGGTGCCGGAACAAACCTTTTCGGGTTTCAGGATGGCTTGGGATGGGTCGTAGCCTGCTGCAAAGTCACCTGTGGCTTCCTGGTGCGAAACCAAATGGGGTTTTTAAGTTCCTTTGAGGCAATTGCATCGCTATGGCCCCACGACACCACCACCGGGGCCAAACCTGGGGAGGGAGAGGGGACCGTCCTGATTTCCGCAGGGGCCCTCAGGAGCATGGCATTACACTCTGCTTGCGGTGGCTGGCATCGCAGCGTGACTCCTTGCAGAAAAACCAGCCTCACGGGCTGCATCCTTGCATGTCTGGGCACTGCCCGAGAAGCACTAGTGCTCTAATGTGAAGAGCCCGATGAATCCATCATCTCCAGCTATCCCTCCCTTAATCCTCTTCTCTAGGGTTTGGCAAACACATCCTTGAAACCTTAGAGAGCTCTGGAGCTTGCTCATGATCTGTGATTCCTATCCCCGAAACGTCTTTGAACCGAGAAAACAATGGAGAGATGAGTCGTTCAAACCTCCCCACGCGTTGGCAGGGCTGGACAGTGATCGAAATTAACAGCAAGTGGCACAAATGCCCCTGGCTGCTGCTCTGGCAAGTTCCCTTGGCAACTCTCCGGTTGCTTCAGTGGTGCCGAGTGGCTCTGGCACCCGGCGGCTCTTCCCTGCAGGCATCGGCAGGTCGGGCTCCGGAGCGGGTGCTGGGAAGCTCCTGGGGAGGTGTTCGAGGCCGGAGCTCGGTGCCCGTGTCCCACACCCTGACTTTTGGTCCCGCTGCAGCTGGAGGGGG